GTTTCATTGTATCAATTCTGCCCAATAAAAAGTGAGCAGGGAGGCCCCAACAAGACCCCGAGCCTCTCTGGCTTCTGATCGAGCTGCTTAAAGGCCATGATTCCAGAGACTCAGACACAAACCTTGGAACCCAACAGCTTTTGGCAGAAATGCATCCGGTCTCTGCAGTAGGTTACCAGTGCCAGGCCACCGTAGGAGGGAATAGGTTTCGTGCCTTGGCCTGTTCCGCCTGGCAGCTCGGTGGCCGCAATCCTCCAGAGGCCACTGGACAGTCAGGTTTGGGCCTGCAGTGACAAGACACGCGGGGCCATATGGAATAGGGGTGGAGCCAGTCCTTTCCTCCCTGCCCCAAAGAGACCCCTAGTCACCACCCACAAATGGCCTCTCTGGCTCCTGGTCAAACTGCCTAAAGGCCATGATCCCAGAGACTCAGGAACAAATCTCAAAACCCAGCGGCTTCTGTCAGAAATCCCTCCAGAGTTAATTGTTAAAATTTCGGGATTCCAAAATCACGCAGCCACTACTAAGGCTGAGCATCATCATATGTTCTTCATAATCAGCAACAGAAAACAAATTGTCTACGGTTGCTTTTTCGGCAGATCTGAGTGTTGGGGTAAAATCCCAAATAATAATGGTGTCGAAATATTGAATGTAATCAAAGTAGAGAGAGAGAATAATATGGAAATCATCTGCCCTACAGATAGGGGAGGGTGGGGGATGGGGAGTATACTGAAGTTTTTGGTGGTGGAAAATGGGCACTGGTGAAGGGATGGGTGTTTCATCATTGTATGACGGAGACTTAATCCCAAAAGCTTTGTAACTGCTCTCATGGTGATTTAATAAACAAATTTATAAAAAAGAAAAAAGGGAGCGGGGAGGAGTGAGACCCTGATCAGGGAAATGAAACCCCAATGGAACTCCAGCCTCTGCAGCAGCAAGACAATGCCAGTGCACCAAGAAGTGGCCAGCGGGCAGTCCCCACCGTGCCTCACCTCCGGCAAGACGCCCTCCTCTCCAAGGAAGAGGCCAGCAGTCAGCCCAGGCACCCCGGGAACAGGTATGGGGCGTGCAGGTGAGCGGGCATCCTCCCTGCCTCCCCCGCCCCTGCACACACAGGCACCACTGGACACCTTGCACTGGCCCTCCCTTCATACCCGCAGCAGCCTTTGGCCAGGGCTGTGTCACAGTGAGGGAACAGCAGCAGGGCACCGGGGCCCTCCGAGGTCTGGTGGAGGACTTCGGGGCACACCCTGCTGCTGGGGTGGGATTTGGGGAGGTCCATACCTGGTGGGGTGTGCCTAGTCTCCCAGGAGGCGGCACCATTCCCCCCGTCTTACTGAAGGGTCTGGGATGTTCCCACTTGACACACAGGACCATGAGTGGCAGAGGGTTCGAGCGCTGCAGGCCCTTGTCTGCAGTGTTGGCACTGGAGTCCAGGCTACCCTATCCGCTAAATGAGGGGCCAGGGTAGCTTCTCTCCTGGACCCTCTAACCCCCATGGCATGTGGTGGGGCGAAGAGAGCTGGGGTACGGCTCAACAGACCGAGCACGCTCTGCATGGCGAGCCCTGGCCTCAGCACCCTGCACCGAGGGCGACCCCTGAACACTGAGAAGAGAGGACCCCCGGCTCCACCAAGGGTGGCCCACAGGCAAGGGCTCTGAGAGGCGGGAGCTCTGGGGCAGACAGTGTGGGGGCCGCACCACAGCAAACACATGCATGCACAATTCGGCAGGGACAGGAAACTGTCACGTGTGTGTGTGCGTGTATGTATGATATAGACATTACATATATCAGGATGCGATTCAATGAGAGGAAAACAAAAAAATCCTTAAGTCTGTCCCCCAGAGAGTGGGGTACAGAACATAGGCTTCCTGCATCCCAGTGCCTGCTCCCCACTTTTGTGCCCGTCGGGGAGGGGGCACAGCCACGCTTGGGCAGTGTGTCCAGGATCCGATGGATTCAATCAGGGAAGCACAGACGGAGAGCAGCCAACCCCTGGGACGGGCCCTACGGGGAAGGTGCTGGGGTTCGCAGGAGGTGGCAGCAACAGCCCACCCCTGCCAACCGGCACAGAAGCAGCCCCGGGGAGGATGCAGGTGAGTGGGCGGGGCAGTGTGCCAATAAAACTTTATTGACCAAAAAAAAACCCAGGCGGTGGCAGACAGGCTGCAGCTTCCCTGGCACGTGGTCAGAGCTTAACAAATGGTGACTGGTTTGCTTCCAGGAGTCCGCATTCATCTCCATTCACTGCCGAGGAGTCCGACTCCGCTCGAGGTTTGAAAGTAAGCACACAAAGGCAGAAGCAGGCCTGTGCACAGGACAGCGCCTCCCACCTCCGGGCTGCTGGCTGGCTGGTTCTGAACCCCCCGTTACTTTCCCTCAGAGCTCCCCCTGCAAACACCCTGGCTTGTCCCCACCCAGGAGGGGCCCTTCACAGTGCATCCCCAGTACCTAACCCCTTCCTGGGCCTGGCCCTGCCCTTCCCCTGACCCTAGGCTCTTGGCTGGCTTCGGAAAAGGTGAGCGGACGAAGCATCTCCTGCAGCACGCGGGTGTGGAGACACACAGACCAGCCGAGCCTGGATCCTCACGGCCACGCCCAGGGCAGTCACGTACCTGTCAGGGTCCCCCAGACATCGCAAAACAGCCCAGAAGGCCTGCAAAGGCCGGGAACCCAGAGCCCCCACGGGCGAGCTCATGGCCGCCTCTGCCTCTCACAGCCTCACATCACCCCCGGGAACACTGGCATGAGAGGAACCCGACTCACGGGGTTCCGTGACCTGCGCAGGGCCATCTGCCCAGCCCGCGACTCACCTCCAGGCACGCTGAGATGCTTCCACGAAGGGCTTCCCAAGAATGGGGTGGATATCGCTACAGCCCTTGGAGCAGGCCCGGAAGCAAGAGGCCCCAGAGGACTGCTCAGGAGGGTGTGGGTCACCCACTGCCCACCCACTATGCGTCAGCCCCATGGTCACTCTCCCCACCTCACAAGGCCCCTCAGTGACGACTCAGCTCGACGACCAACAGAACTCTTGCCTCAGGCCTCTGTTCTGCCACATCGCAAAGGGGCCTGCTTTGACATCGCTGGTCACACATCCCTTCACCATCCTGACCAGGAATCAAGTGCGTCCTGGGCCCGGGGACCACATCACTGACCCCACCCAGCCTAGACAGACATGAGGGCAGGACCTGCAGATCATCAACAGCCCAGAGAACAGGACACAGCCAGCTGAGAGGCCCACAGGCGCTGGTGCCCCAAGGCGTCAGTCAGCACACCCGGCATGATGGCACCTGCCCAGCCGCAGCCGGGTGAGGCTGGGGCCTCTGACCGTCTGGCTGAAGGGCCAGCCTGGAGGAAGCTGCTGTCCTCTGGAGGGAGACAGGCGTCGCTGACCCCGTACAGCCACACATCCGCCGCAGGACGCCTGATGCCCAAGACCCGGTCTCACCCTCCCCGCCCTGTGCCAGCGCCACCACCTGCCCCCGGCACCCCGACCCCCCAGAGCCTGGGCCCCAGACCTCACTCCGTCCCTAGCTGCCACAGGGCAAAGTCTGTCTGCTTAAGAATAAGACCCATACCCACAGCCCTCATAGGCTGGAGCCCTGCGTCATCCCGCGCACAAAAGGCGCCACCAGGGCCTCACAGGGATAGGAGGGAGGAGGCAGTTCAGACACCCACGGCTCGCGGGGGCGGCAGGAAGGAGAGGCTGGTGGTTCAGGGGGCTGATGGCTGATGCGTGGCTGGTGGGGAGGGGACACTTAGGAGAAGCTGGTGTGGCCAGGGCAGGGAGCTCCAGTGGCTGGTGAGGGCAGGGAGCTCATCCGTACTTGGGGTGCGGTGGGGGGAGGCCCCCGCTGCGCACTGTGGAGAGACGCCAGGGCGGGGGTCATTTAGAAGGGATATTAGGCACCTCGCGTCCTGAGGGCGTCTAACACCAAACGCCGCCGTGCCGGGATCCCGAAGCCTACAGAGGCGACACAGAAGGAAGCCGGTTCCCGCGCTCCGAGGGAGAGCGCCCGCATGCTGGCGCCCTCGCCACTCCCCAGTCCTGGCCCTCTATCCCACCGGGCTCCGTGGACACACGGGCCGCGGGTCCCTGCCACTCCAGTCCTGAAGGCCAAGGCGCGGCCGCCCCTCGCCGTCCCCTCCGCGCGGGTGCGGGCCCGCTCCGGCGGCCTTGGGAGGCGCTGGCCAGGTGCTGAAAGCGCTGGCCAGGGGCCGGCTGGGGCAAGGAGAAAGGCCAAGGACAGGCCAGGGCGCCGCGCCCGTGCCGGAGGCAGGCGTGGGGGTGGCCCGGCCGACAGCGCCAGACCGGCTGCGTGCGGGGCGCGAGGCGCTTCGAAGGCCACCGCGAGCCCGGCGCTGCCCACGCGGCGGCCAGCGGGCGCGAGCGGGCATGGCGCCGACGCGGCCCCCCAGCCCTGCTCCCCACGTCTCCCTCCCCGGCGGCGCCCACCTGGGCGGAGCAGCGCGGGGCTGTGCGTGGCCGAGGCCGCCGCAGCGTGTGCCGTGCGCGGGGCGGGGGTGCGGGCCCGGCGGCCTCGCCCAGCCGCCACCCCCCGGCCGCCGCGCGCGGGTGCCCATCCTCGGTGCCACCGCGGCCGGCCGCGAGCCGGGCTCCCTGGACGAGACGGCGGCCACGCCCCCCGCGCCACTCCCGGACAGCGCCCGGCGCGCCCACTCCCCCTCTGGACGTGGGGGCCGAATGGGGAGGATGGGGCGCGGGTGGCACCGCCGAGGGCGTGCGGGGGGGGGGGGGCGCCGCAGAGGCAGGGGCTGCGGGGCGCGGCAGGGGACACGGGGCGGGAAGGGGGCCCCGGAGGTGAGTGCGAGGGTGGGCGGGGGTCCGCCGAGGGTGCGGCGCCTGGAGGAGGGGGAAGGCGGGGCGGGGCGGCACCGGTCACCGCGTCCCCCGGAGCCGGTCGGCCCACCGATTACTGGTCCCTACGCACCTCCCGCCCCGCACCCACCCCGAGCCCGCCGGCGCACCTGGACCCACCTGCTCCGCGCGCAGGCCCGAGCCGGGCTGCAGCCCCGCGCCGCATCCTCCGGCCGCCCCCTCCCCGCCCCGAGCTCGCGCAGCCGCCGCCCCCGCCGGGAAAAGGACGAAACGGAACAGAAAACGTAAGCGTGCCAAAAGAAAAATAATAATGATGATGAAATCCTTAAGAAGCCAGTGGGGGCGGCGACGGGCGGGCGCGCGAGGCTCCCAGGGGCGGCGGTCGGGGCGGCCGGTCCGCGCGTGCCGCACGCTCCCCGCTGCAGCTCCCTCGGCCGCCCCGCGCCCGGCCCAGCCCGGCCCCGCCCCGCGCCCGGCCCGGGCCGCCAATTGGCCTGGCCTCCTGCCAGTCATGGGAGGCGGTGCTCTCCCGCCGCGCCTCAGCCCGCCCGCGCTCCCGCCCCGCTCCCGTCCCGGGCCTCCGATTGGTCCGCTCCCTGCCAGTCAGGGGCCCCCGCCCCGCCCCCTCCCACGGCCCCGCCCGGAGCGGTTCTGCTTACGCCCGCCGGGGCTCCGCGGGGCCGGAGCGTGCGCACTGGGACCCCTGCCCGCGCCGCGGGTATGTGGAGGCGGGGGAGGGGTCTCCCCGCGAGCGACCCCCGCCTTTCGTTAGGGCCGAGGTGCTCCCGGCGCGTCCCCAGAGCCGAGGGTCCTGGGAAACGAGTCCGTCCCTGCCCCAGGGGGGCCGCTCGCGCGGTTTGGGGGCGCCCGCGTTTATGTAACCTGGAGCTGGGGCCCTCCTAGGTCTTCGGTGGAGGCGGTGGCGGGCAGGGGGCGGCGCAGCCACCGCGCTTGCTATATATATATATATATATAAGATGCCATATGAGGGTCTCAGGGGAAAGGGAGGCGAACGCGGGAGAGCCGGGGCTGAGCATCACAGCAGAGCGGGAATGCATGATGCCTGCACAACTGGTGCGTGCGCGAGCGGGCTGCGGGAGCATTTCTCTCGCTCGGTCGCCAACGAGGCCTTCCTGGGGACCAGAGAGCTGACATTCCGACCACTGATCGCTCAGTGAGGAGAGAGAGGAAGGGGGTGGGGGAGGGGCGGGAAGCAGCCGCAGCTGCCAGAACCTGTTGGCTCTGCGGGGGAATTTGGAGCAAGTCCTGAGTGCGTCTCGCTCGGGTAGTGGACTTTAGAGCCACTGTCGGGTGTGCGTCCTTCAATTCTGCCTGCGAGGTTAGAATAGGGCCCTGCGTGGACAACCCCTGGAATAACCCCTCCACCCCCTTTGGTCCTTTAGCTCCAGCTCAAGGGACACATCACACCTGAACAGCAGGGGACTTCGCTTACTGTAGGGACTCAAGACTCTTGAGTTCCATTGACTGGAGAGAGTTAGGTGCTGACGATGCGAGGGATGTAAGGGAGACCCAGTTTCCACTTGAAAGTGATGTAGCACATCCCTTCCCGCCTCAGTGTCCTACACCAGCTGCATGGCCGAGCCTGGCTTGGAACGGGAGGCGAGCCCAGACCTCCCGTCCCACGCAGAGGGCAGACCTGGTACATGCAGACACGCCTGGAGGCATCTTGCAGCTGTGGGAGTGCAGATATGGCTGCTCTGGGACCAGGGATGGAGCATCAGCGAACGCAGGGCTCTAGAAACGGCAAGACTTGCCCAAGGCTTGGATGCAGGTTGGAGAGAAGAAGAGTCATGCTGAATCCAATTCCCACAACCCTAAAACGTGCCCTAACTTGGAAATAGGGTTGCTGCAGCTGCAGTGCACGCTGGCCATGGGCAGGCCCTTGGTCCAGTAAGATTGGCATCCTGGTAAAGGGGCGATGAGGACAGGCAGTTCGCCAGGGTAGTAACACTGGTTTTTTTTTTTTTTTTGCTTTTTGGATCACATCCGGCGATGCTCAGGGGTTACTCCTGGCTCTGCACTCAGGAATTACTCTTGGCGGTGCTCGGGGGACCATATGGGATGCTGGGAATCGAACCTGGGTCCGCCGCGTACAAGGCAAACGCCCTACCCACTGAACTATCGCTCCAGCCCCATAACACCTTTTTTTACAGACTCTGGAGTGTTGCTGTGAAGATGCAGTTACTTACCTAACTTGTGATCATTCCTAATCATGCATGGGGAGCTGGGTCTGAGGGGGGAAGGAGCCTTCCCTAATGATGCTAGCTCTGAGTTCCTGCTGGCTAGAGGAGGAGGAGAAAGAAGATCAAAGGGAGAAAAAATAAAGAAAAACACAGAAGGGAAAAAATAGGCCAGTGTAACGATGCACATTGATGCAAAACACCCAACAAAATACTAGGAAACTGAATTTAGCATGTGTTAATAGAATCGTATGCTGTGATCAAGTGGGATTTATTCCATGGGGCAGGTACAGTTGAATGTCCACGGATCAATTGGTATGATAGAACACATTATCAGGATGCAGGGTCATCACTCAGGGGCTGAGGACACATCCCTTACAAGCACATGGACAAACCCTGGAGTAGCCACAGGTGCTCACCGTGACCCTGGTAACTCTGCTGTTTGACCCTGGCTGCTCAGCACCACAGTTACTCCTGGACATCCTGCAGACAGGAGTGTGGATGAATACCACGAAATGGTGTAACCCCGGCAAATGTCACAACGAAGGATGCTCACACACCATGGCCATACAGTGTGGTCTCTGACGAGCTTGTGGGAGTCTGCAGTCCAGGCAGCATTGCCACCAAGATGTTCATGCCTAGAGAGCCTGGGAGACACTACAGATTTGCACAGTCGACCCAGGTTCAATCCTCGGAACCCTGTAGAGTTCCCCAAGCCCTTCCACAAGAAGCCCCGAGTACTGCTGGGTGTGACCCCCCAAAACCCAAAAGATAAAACAAAATGTTTGTGCCTCAACTACAAGTATAATTCCAGAAAGAGAAAACCAGGAACAAAATAAAATCATACAATCATCTCAATAGATGCCTAAAACAGGACTTGACAAAATTCAATATCTAGACAAAATTCAATGTGATTTTTAAAAAAAACTCAGCAAAATGGGTAAATAATGTAGGAGGGGTTGATATGACAAAACTATGGCTGATTCTGTACTGTATAGTGAATGTCAAGAGCAAACAAGTAGTTTACAGTCAAGAGCAAAATAAAAACGTCCACTCTTAGCACTTTTATTTAATGTAATCTTGGAAGTCCTGGCCAGAAAATTAAGCAATTAAAAGAAAAAGTATTTGAACTGGAAAGGAAGAAGTAAAACTGTTCGTATTGCAGACAACATGATATATATAAAATCCTGGAAATTCTACCAAAAATGTTAAAACTAATCAATAAATTCAGCGAAGTCAGGATCAAAAATCAAAACATGAAATTCTGGGGCTGGAGCGACAGCACAGCAGGTAGAGCATTTGCCTTGCACGAGGCCGACCCAGGTTCCATTCCCAGCCTCCCATATGGTCCCCCGAGCACCGCCAGGAGTCATTCCTGAGTGCAGAGCCAGGAGTAACCCCTGGGCATCGGCTGGGTGTGACACAAAAAGGAAAAAATTTTAAAAAACAAAAAAATTCTGTTGTATTTCTACATCCTAATAAGTAAATTATTAAAAAAATTAAGAAAACTAACACACTCAGAACTGTATTACAAAGGAATAAAATACTTGTAAACAAATCAGCCAAGGAGTTGAAAGCCCTATACGCTGAAAATTATAAGGAAGAAACTGAGGAAGTCACCATTAGTGTTGGGTAACATTGCTTTGTCCTTCAAGAAGCTTAGGTTTTATCTGGTTACACCCATTAATCTGGTTACACCACCACAGTGCTCCAGAGGCACTTCCACTTCCATTGTGTTTCATGTAAACATGTAAACACTCTTCCCTATGCTCTCCTTCCCACCCAGTTAATCAGCTTTCCTCTTAATCAGACTTTGTTAATTTGTAAGATCAGTTTCCCAGAAATCTATGATTTTATATGTATGAGTGAAATATTGCCTTTCTCCTCTCCATATGCCTTATGAACAGTTTACCTTAAAGTAATATCCTTTTTGTATAGATACAGGAAGACCATTAACATTATGCTTTGTAACTTAGGATTTGATTGGCCTTGAATATTATTCACTCCTGGGCATCTGCTTTCTCGACTTAAGCCTCAGTTGCCCTTAGTTCCTAACACCCCAAAAGCAGAGTCCCGACGAGGGACTGAATGGACCCAGGGCAAGCGGTGAGCTACCCTGGCAACGAAATGGGCCAGGCCAAAGTGCCACGATTCTTAACTATAAGTTAAGAGTTTGATCATAGACAAATGCTGTCATGATCCAAAGGTAACGACAAGACTAGGATCCTGCTAGGGGTGGGAAAGACTATCTGGCCTGAGCACCGTAGTCTGAGATCGAGATGGCCCTAGGAGAGCAATTCTATAAGTTTAAGATACTTCTTACTGTATCCATACAAAATGATTTATATTATATTCTTATATGCTTTTCGGACAAGGAGAGGAGAGGCACGCCCATGGGATTATGCTCTAGGGTGGGTCCTCCTGCTGAGGAAGGATCTGTCCTAGGAGTGGTCTTCCCTGAGGCTAAGATTTCTACCCCTGTTGATCTCCACCCCTATTGATTGTGACCACACCTATATGTAATTGTTTCCCCCATTCTCTTGGAGAGAGATATAAGGAGACTGTAGATTGGGCAGGGGGGCAGAGACAGAAGGAGAGACGAGGAGAGACAGAGAGAGACAGGAGCAGAGACAGATGAGGAGAGAATCAGAATAAACTACGACTAATACCTACCAGCCTGGCCCTCGTTCCTTCCTCCGCCTGACCATCGCCATCGACCTCTCCGGGGTGGGAGAAGGGTGAGACTACCGAACGCGGGTGGCGGGAGAGATAGAGCCACCACTGCTGTGGGTGCCGTGCCCCCTATTTTGTGTGAGTTTACACAATTAGTATATTTTGTGATAAATATATAATAAATAAATATAAACAAATAAGAAAAATTGTCATGCTAATGGATTTAAAGATTTAATCTTGCTTAAATGTCCATTCTACCTACAGTAATTTATAAATTCTATATCGATTTGCTCGAGCAGGCCCAGTAACATCTCCATTGGAGATTTTTTTGTTACTGTGTTTGGCATATCGAATACATCACGGGTGGCTAAATTCTATATCATCCTTAACAAAATTTCAACTGCAAATTTTACAGAAATCAAGCAAGCATTCTTAATTTTTTTGTATAGCCAAAGACAATTCCCCAAAACCAAGGCAATCTTGAGAAAGAAGAACAAAGCTAGAAGTATCACACTCCCTGATTTCAAACAATAATACAAACAACAATAATTAAGAGAAAGGCACTGGGCGAG